TTGAAGTGTTATAAGCATTTGAGTAAAAATCCAATTTGAGAGGCAATGCCATGAGAAGTTAAATATTTTTCCAGCCCGATGTGTCACTACAATCTAAAACTGTTATACTGACCTAAAATTTATCTTACTTATCTTAGTTTATACAAGAAAACATGTAATTATACAATCACGGTACTATGATCCAGCTGCGCATCAAATCAACGGCAGTGCGGCCAGTGCCCTCTTGACCGTATTAATTCCAATATTTATGAATAAGTCTTATTGGCTATATTTACCTCGGCGAGGTAAATAAGCGATTTTCTACCATGCCACCTTGCGATTGACCAATCAGATTGCAGTATTGGAGGTCAATTATTTTTCATATTAACCTAGCTTATAAAAATATAAACCTATCTCGTTAAATAATTAATTGATTGGCAGTTTGGCACTCTACGCTTATGCTCTTATTAGTCCATTTGTCAAGTTTGGTTGATTCTTTACTGCTTAGCCTGTTAGATATGTTGTATGTATGTCAACTGTGGTCTTATTATCAGCAGCTGGTAGTTGTTTTTCAAGTGTCATGGTAGAAGTTGGTTATACACCTCGGTATCGGTTTCTATGGTATTTATTAACCTCGCGACTGCGTCGCTCGGTTAATAAATACCATAGAAACCTCTACCTCGGTGTATAACCTATACATATTTACCTCCTATAACGCAATCTGATTGGTCAATTGCAAGTAGGCATGGTAGAATAACAGAAGCAGATATATAAACACATGGATTGGAAACGGTCGGATATTTTTAACACAATGCTTGCTACGGGATTATAACGGGATCAAAATGGCTGCCTTACAGATGTAAAATTACGAACCCTGTTTATTGAATATTTCTTGACTCTAGAGTATCACTGACACTTGATAACAATTCTATAATGTAAACACTAATAGTTGGAATCAAATAATAGATGCATGCATAGTAAGTTTATTTTTAAAAAACAATCGATAAATGGCCGGCTGGCAGAAACCGCAGCCTTAAAAATCCACAGGAACAACACAGTCACTTCATTGTAGCTCATTACATTGGAGAGTTTCTTAGGAAACCATACTGATGCCACAGATTTTCTTCATTAGTCGTCATGAAGTTGCGAGAGGGAGAAATTCCACCGTGGGTCCGATTATTCTTGATTTCTCAATAAAACAC